TTATCTTGAAGTGGGCAGTCATTTTTACTTCAATGAGTACCATTCTTTGCCTCAACTCCATGCTTCAAGGGTTTTCAGAGACCTAAAACTAAAATAGGTATTTTACATTTAAGTTCTTACAGTATCTAAGGGAAGTATTTCAGTTTGAATCACGTGGAATTCTTCACTGCTCTGCTTAACTTTCTAACTCAAAGGCAAATAGGAGCAATGCTCATGTATTTTCTATCCTTATCTTGCAATTTGTCTTTAAATTGACTGAAACTGGAAGAACTAACACACATATTTTACTGAATCCTAGAAATATTGACTCCAATGTCAAACTCAGAAAGTTTGATTTGGTTGCCATATGTTCTCTTACAATTTCAGGGAAAAAAAACCCACAAACAAAACAAAACAAAAACCAAAAAAACGAAGGAAAAAACCCCACAAAAAACAAACAAAAAAAACCCCAACTCCAAAACCCAACCATTATTTTATCCTGAACATATTATCAGAAAGTGGTCTATAGCAACACTATTTGTACTTATTTGTACTTATTCTGTAGCACATAATACATAACAACAAAAAATTACAATAAAAATATAAAGAATCTGGGGGAAAATAAAGCTTTTCACACTTTCTCCATCAGAACCAAGGTTCTTCATGGGAGTAAGACTATAGAAAAGGCAAGATCACAGGTTACTGACAGCCCTCAGTTATTAAGTGACACTTTACATGACAATATGAATCATTACAGAAGTCAGCAGCAATGAAATCTATGATTATACAAAGAAAAAAAGTAAAAAAATCCTGGACACAGATTAGACTATAGGCCGGAAGGAGAACCCCATCTAGGTATCTGGTGCACAAAAGCACATGCCACTGCTGTGCATCCCACTGCTGGGTGTTTTTCTTTTTTTTGGGGGGGGGGGAGTGCACAATACCTGATACAACTGAGGGTTTTAGGCTGGACCATAGTAAATTAAAAATTAAAAAAGTTTCCAAAAAATTAAAGCATCAATTCCTAGTTATAATTCAAAGTTGATTTTTTCCCCCTTCTAGGAGCAAGCAAATAAAAATATAGCCATATACATGTAATTTTACATGTATTTATAGTTATATGCTCAGCAAAGAGATCTAGCAGGAGACAGCTAGTGTTAGATGGTCAGCTTTGCTATTGTAATACTTCTTCATTTCTGTACACAAGGCCAAGGTCTTGGGCCACAGACAAGGCTATAGATCCTATTTTCCAACTCAGAGCATTCAATTTTGTTTTTTTCTCTCCAATATGGAATGTCACATAGCCTTGTTTCAGTCACTGTAAAGGGGGGGAAAAAAGACAAGTATAAAACTCAGTACTGTATTATTACAAACTGTTATAAAATTACAGAACAGACTTCTCTCACATACCCCCCGCCCGATTGTAGAGTGAACAGAACCTCTATGAAAATTTAGTTTTTAAGAACTTTGCCTTATTTGAAACTCTTCCTATCAGGTAATACGAAGGTAAACAAAGAGGGAAGGAACAAGAGATCTCTGTACGCACATCCTACAAACTGACATTTCTTCTCTCCAACCTTCAAGAAAAATGGTGGCATATGACTTGTTAAGAGTTTTGAAATTAGAGCAAGATTGTACAGGAAAGAGATCTGCATCTTGTCTCATGCAAAAAACTTGCTCAGACCACAAAAATTAGTTTTGACTAAGGTTTTCAAATATTTTTGGACCTCATTAGCTTTTTACAATAAAATTTCTCTAAGTATTATACACACTATTTAAAGTTACTATTCTCTATTTTCAAAACTAAGATGTTTGCTTTTCTGGGCTTTTAATGTTATGTTCCATTCTTCATATGTTGCTGTTAATTGTTGCTGAGTTGTGCCTGACTCAGAGAGACACTATGAACAAAAGACCTGAGACCTTTCTGTAACTATGTTTCTCCAAGTTCATAGTTTCCAGAGGCATGTACTTTAGGAAATGGATGCCACTCCTGCTTCCACACCTGTCTTAAACTGGGAGCTCCACCAAACACTGTCCATGATCGGCAGCCATTTTATATGTATCCACCAAAATTATTCTGAACAAATGCTACTTGTAGTATACAATAATTTAACACATTTTAAGATGTGAACCTGAGTCTGTCAGAAGTTCAACTTTTACTTAAAGGTTTCACTGAGTTTGGCCACTGAATCTTTTTAGTTATAACTTGCCATACACACACACACACACACACACACACACACACACACACACACACCCACTGAATTTTTAGTTATAACTTGCCATACATATATACATACATACATATCTCCTCCTGCAAGATGAATTTTGTGAAAAGATTTCAACTCCTTTCTTTTTAAGTTCACAAAAGAAGCATAAGTAGAATGGCTGGATGGGTACACTGATAGGTAAGGAAGTACTCCAAATCCAGCATATCTAGCATATCAGAAATAAACAATGTGTAAGCATGCATCTTTTCAATAGTCAGAAAATGTATTCTTTTCAAGGTATCACGTGAGAATTGGCATCAAATAAGATTGCAGGTCGAGAAAAGAGAAGCAGAAATTATCTGCAAGTTCCATCTTGATTAGGGTTAGAGACCTTAAGGCCATAGTTAAATAAAATGACAAGCCTATTACTTTTATTGCTTGCATCAGGGTTTCTGGTTTCTTTGGTAAATACCAGACAGAGACAGGATCATTCAGAAGGATTGTATTCTGACCTAAAGAGTCCTAATGGAAGTAGTTAAAAGTGCTTAGCTGCTAACTAAAAGTTGGAGGTCAGAACCCATTAGCCACTCAGAAGGAGAAAGATGTGGTAGTAGCCTGCTTCTGTAAAGATTTACAGCCTTGCAAACCCTACATGAAGTTTCATACATCATTTAAGACTGCTAGCAGCTGGACAGAGATGATGAGTTGAATTCAATTTGACGGCAACTAATGACAACAAAAACATGAGTTGGAATCCACTTGATGGCCAGAGAGTTTGGTTAGGCACCCAGATCGAGCTGTAATTCTAAAGCACAGGATATTCTAATAATATGTAACATACTTAAAAAGCCAGAATCTTTGAAAAGTATTCCAAAATACCTATCATTAAGACCAAAACTTGTTGAACATTCTCAGATAAACTTTTTTTTAAGGGGTAAATGTTAAATAATTAAGGTACACAATAACCCTCGTATTAGTTTCTAACAATAAGTTTCACTTTTGAGATTCTTTCTGTATTATAAAGACACAGGAGTCGCATCTACTTCTTAAATAACATGCCTCTGGAAACTATGAACTTTGATAAATGTCAATAGTTGTAGAGGGGCTTCAAGCCTTTTGTTCATGGAGTTGCTATGAATAGTGGTTAACTTGAAGTCAATCAACAACAACATAACTACAGACTATCAGCAAAGTGATTCGTTACTCACTTTATGAATATATAGCTCACTATACGAACATCAACCATATGATTTTTAAACAAAGAAATTATTAACCAATGACTAACATCCAATATAGGTGTGAACAAGAGGATATCATAATTTGGTAGTATCTTAAAATTTTAAATGTTCACATAGAACAGTTATATAGAAGCAGAATTAGAAAAAAAGATCCTCAACTTCTCAAAAACAGAAACACAAATTAAAATGTCACTGCGTATTTTTCACCTATCAAAATGGAAAAATCAGTAAGATGTTACACATTTTATGTGAGGGTATTGGGAAATAGAGCCTTCAATACATTGCTGGTATGCATAAATGAATGTATCTTCTAAGGAAGGCAATATCTAAATGACAAATGCATAGTAAAACAATGTCACTAGTAATTTATACCACATATATTACTGAGTAACAGGGAAAAAAATCAACATAATTCAATGTAAATCATGATAAGCACATGTGTCACAGTGCAGAACTGGCTCCACAGGGTTTTTGCAGAGGTAATCTTTAAGGAGGCAGATTGCTGGTCTTTCTCCTGCAGTACCACTGGGTGGAACTGGACCAGCAGTCTGTCAGTTAGCAGCTGAGCACAAACTACTTATTTGCATTACCTATGTTAACTAAATGAAGTATACCTACACAAGGGAGTATGATTCAGCTGGAAAAAATGTGAGAAAGCTCACAATAATATGGAAAGAGCATCTAAATGAAATTAGGGGGAAAACAAGATGCAGAACAAAAAAGTGTACATGTAGAGAGAAGAGAGTAGCATTTGTACATCAATTAAAAAAACAACAACTGTACAAACATCCAAAGAAACCACCAAGAGCAGATAATTCTTTTAAATGTGTAAAAAACTAGATAAAAGCAATCCTATAATTTCATACTTTTGAATCATGTTAATATATTATTTATTTAAAAAATGAAGCAGAAGATTCCAGCATTTTGCACCAAGAAGTTCAGTATAGCACTATGTGACAATAAAAATACCAACCCAGACATTAACATGGAACTGAGTAAAAAATTCTGCAGCAGAGGAACACAATATTGTTAGGTGAAAAATTAAGTTGCAAAATAGTAATACAGAATAAATATGCTCGTTTTAAATGACGCAAACAGTAAAAAAATGTGTATTAGTTCGTCAAAATGCTCTAGATGCCTAGTGCCAAGGATTTCTGCTGCCAACCCAGAGGTACATGGTTCAAATCCAGTAGCAGCTCTGTGGGAGGAAGATGGGCAGTTTCCTTGTGCACAATTTACAGCCTATGAAAATCTGCTGGAGGGTTAGCTATGAGTTGGTTCTAACTTGAAAGCATACAACAGCAACAGAGAATTTATACTTTTAAAATCACGTTGGTCTACAATGAAATTTCTCTAACAAGTATTAGCTTTCATAACAAAATCCAACCCAAACCCAAACAAAAGATCCTAATAATGAAAAAGAAGTTTTAAGCTACAGCTTTCTAGGTGAAAATATCATAAAAATACAACTATTTTTAACAATGAATTGCTTTTCATATGTATAGAATCATACTAGGTAAAATTTGAGGGTGAGATGGGGGGAGGAAAGAGTATCGTCCAATACCTGTTAATACTAGAATAATATAGGTTTTCCCGCAGTTTTTTCTTGAACATAAGAAGTAAAACGTTTCAGAAACTTGGGATATTCACGCTTTGCTACTGCTCTTAGCACGGAGGCTGGTGCCCATCCTCCAGGGTTCACTGGGAGACAAGGAGAAAAGAAAAACTGTTAAGATGTGACCCTCCAAATATACATAAAGCAATTTAGTCCTTTGTTTTGAAAAAAATTCCTTAAGTTAAAACAATTAGAATCTTGCAAATTTTCAAACCATTATTTCTTAATACTAATCACTAAACCCAGTCAAATAGCAAATGTTGTTGTTGTTGTTATGTGCTGTCAAGTCGCTCGCGACTCATAGTGACCCTATGTAAAACAGCCCTAAACTATGCTCTGTCCTGTGCCAATCGCACTGTCTCTGAACTCCCATCCCGATTATCCCAGTCACTGAATCAATCCACCTAATAGAGGGCCTTCCCCTCCTGCGCTGTCCCTCCACCCTCCCAAGCACCGGTCTCTCCTCACAACATGTCCAAAGTATGTTAGACGGAGCCTCAGAATCCTTGCCTCCAAGGAGCCACCC